GGGTTAGTAGCACATCAACCAAAATACCATTTAATTATATTCCATTATTTAATACAATATTTATTTAATACAATATTTACAGGTATACATACAATATTTTCAGGTATAATACGTACGAAATAACGTCCTAGGGCATTATGGAGATGTAGATTATTTGAGTGTTTGGGCTAGCATTTTTGATAACCGTAAATAGGCCCCTTTCTTACCTATAAATTTAACAGGAGAAATGTACCTAGAGTGGTTAGGAGTTGCGATTCATCCAGAATTGGTGGAGAATGATAACATATGCATACACTAATATTCCAACAAGATTGTGCGTCATCCCATTATGCTGCAGTGGCTCGTCAATATTGTGTGGCCCCCGCGTTCTCCAGATTCAAGCCCATTAGATTTTTTCTTCTGAGGTCATTTTCAGCATTTACTTGATTGATTTTGTTTTTAAAGCATTTTTTTAAATAAAAATATTCCAACATGTTTTTGTAACTTTAATTAGCCCCTGTAATGGCTAGGTAGATAATAGTAGCGATGTGAGACTCGGGGGTTATAATCTACATAAAAATAGCTTCAAAATAAGGTATCACTCGACCCCTCATTCCATTTAAAATTTTGGGGGCCCTTGTCACCCCCGCTAGGGCTTTGCCCCCCAGGGGGTGAAAACACCAAAAAAAATGGTTCCCCCTTAAATCAAAAATTGAAGGGTACGAGGGTTTTTTCTTAAATGTCTTGGGGAGCCCGAAATCACCTCTGTTTCGTTTTCAATTGGCCACCCTGTATAAAAAAACATGCACCCTGTACAAATAACTGGATTACTGCGGAACTTATGGGTGGACCTCTGCGGGACGAGCGCAGCGAGTTCCGCAGCCATCTACTCACCAATATACTGTTGAACTGTTCAAATGAGACAGTCACCTGAAACGTGTAGTTTTTGAACTTATGAGAAAAATTCTCAACTGAGTGAATCAGGTTAGTATTGTACTTGAACAACATATTCGTGAATAGATGACTGGGTCCACCCATCATAAGTTCCGCAACAATTCACTCTTTTGTAATTGAATAACTTGTCACAATAGGTATATTACTAGTTTGGTAAAGTAACATTACTCAATTCCTGTTAAAAGGCAAATTGTCAAAAAGTTAATACTTAATCATAAGCTTACAAATTCTGACTTTTATAATAGGTTATTGTTCAAGTACAAATAAGTGGATAATTGCGGAACTTATGGGTGGACTTCGCTGCGCTCGTCCCGCAGCCATCTACTCACCAATATACTGTTGAACTATTCAAGTAAGACACTCACCTGAAACTTGTAGTTTTTGAACTAATGAGAATAACTGACATTTGAGTGAGTCAGGTTAGTATCGTATTTGAACAACGTATTAATGATTAGATGACTGCGGAACTCGCTGCGCTCGTCCCGCAGAGGTCCAACCATAAATTCCGCAATAATCCATTCGTTTGTACTTGATTAACTTGTCACATTATGTTACTAATTTGGTAAAGTAACATTATTAATTCCTGTTGAAAGGCAAATTGACAAAAAGTGGATAATCTTACAAATTCTTACTTTATATAATAAGTTATTGTTCAAGTACAGGGTGTTTTTTTATATATTGACACCCCACCTACAGCCTTCACCTTCACAAGTAGATGAAAGGTGTAAATACAAAAGTTGTACAGTATTGACTAAATTTTTAGAATCCATGGTCAGAAACAAAAATTGAATATCAGAAATGTGAAATGTTGCATGCTTTCAGTTTTTTTCAAATAGGATGCCCTATATTTGCTTGTATATTCTTGAAGAGCACAATTTCCCGATTCCAAAACTATATAGTTTGTCTATATTTGGTTGAGACGTTTCTAACATATTTGGTTCTAAAAATTTCATAAATACTATCAGGGACACCAAGTACATACCTCAAATTTTACCTGTAGCTTTCACCTGTATAGGTAGAATGGTTCACAAAATCAGTAGTAGGATAGTATTTTTACAATTTTTGGAGCCAAATATATGAGAGACTGCTCAATCAAATATAGACAAATTATATATTTTTGAAATCGGGGCATTGTGCTCTTCAAGAATATAGAATGAAATATAGGGCATCCCATTTGAAAAAAGCTGGAAGCATGCAAAATTCCACATTTCTAACATTCAAATTTTGGTTTCTAAAAATTCAGCCAAAACTGTATAACTTTTGTATTTACACCTTTCTTTTACCCGTAAAGGTAAAAGCTGTAGGTGGGATGTCAATATATAAAAAAACACCCTGTACCTACCTATTTAAAATCACCTTATTCTCCTAAATAGTTCCCCCATTTCCATATTTTCATGGGCCATTCCTTCGAAAAACCCTAACTTGCCAAAACTAACCCAAACTATCCCAATCTGGCTTACTTTAACTTAAACTGCCCCCTTTCAAAAGGCCTGTATCCGCCCCTGTGTTGGGTCACCCGGTAAGTGAGTTACACATTGACTGCCACGTCATACATTTCTGAATGACACGGCCACTTCCGTTCCGGCCGCGTCATTCATATTTGTATGACGGTTCAGTTTCACTTCTAGGCCATGTCATGCATTTATGTATGACAGCCTGTGTATTTTAAATGGAGATATATTTGCGTGGCCCCTGGGGATTCTCAAGGTAAACTTGGCCAGAGCAAATTTTGTTGGGTTATTGTCCAAGACTAATGAAACCAAAAATTTACTTAAAACAGGTATAATTTTAAGTAAAAAACCACGAAAAAAACTAATTCTTTCTCATAGGGTGTTCCTAAATATCATGTACAAACGAAAGGGGGTGATTCTTTGGTTTATTTTATGACTAAAATTTCTAATGAACATAGGTCCGCAAACGCTTCGTTACCGATCTACAGGGTGTTGAAATTTTATAATTTTTTTAGTTTTTTCTTTATAGCTCTTGCAATTTTTGAGGGATTTAGCTCAAATTTGGAATAAAAATTACCCAATAAGAGCTGAATGATTGCACATATCAAGCGTTTGCCAGAATCTACAGGGTGATGTTTTTTCAGAGGTCATACCCCCTTTTCTGCTCCTGAACTTTTTCGCGGTGCGCCGCTGGTCGATGCAAAGACACAAAATAGATTTTCTACCTTATTTAGAAAGTTTTTGTTCTCTTGTAGTTTTATCGAATCACCGACCCTTATCGAGAAAAAAATTAAAAAACAAATCTCTGTAATTAGCTAGATGAAACTAAAGTGACTGAATAAACCTTTTCCAACTACAGTGGCGACAATAGAGGTCCCGCAGCCATATTTTTGCTCATTCTCAATAGGAATCTAGAAGTAAAGACACTCCTCGCCGCCATATTCTTGCTCATTTTCAATATGAATAGATTAAAATTGCAACACCCCATAGATCGGTAACGAAGCGTTTGCGGACCTATGTTTATTAGAAATTTTAATCATAAAATAAACCAAAGAATCGCCTCCTTCCGTTTGTACATGATTGTATATGATGAAATATGAACTTATAATTTACAAAAGGAACAGGCCAAATCCTGAATTATTCGCTGGGGGCTAAAGTTGTATTTTCGTATTTTTTGGCTTTTCTTTTATTTTACAGTGACAATTTACTTATAATTTTGTTTGGTTTTTATTTTTTTGGCTTTTTTGCATTTTGTGTTGTGTCATTCATATATGAATGACGTGGCCGGTGCGATAAAATTTCGTCAAACTTTTCCAGGTGGCCGCGTCATTCATATATGAATGACACAACAAAAAATGCAAAAAAGCCAAAAAAATAAAAACCAAACAAAATTATAAGTAAATTTTCACTGTAAAATAAAAGAAAAGCAAAAAATACGAAAATACAACTTTGGCCCCCAGCGAATAATTCAGGATTTGGCCTTGGCAGTCAATGTGTTAAAGAATCAGAATTTGGTGGGTTCAATTTAGATATCGTAGGTAGGTAGGTAACCAATAATTAAAAAATAAACTATAGAAATTCGCAAATGCAAAATTTTCTTCTGAAATTGATAACTAATATTACACTTTGTAGGTAAAAAAAGTGAATGTAAAACAAACCTACCTCAAAAAAAAAATCGTCTAGATATATCGCACCGATAAAACCTTAAAATTCAAACGAGTCGAGATCCGCCTGGGAGATTCTCGAACGTTCATTACAAAAGATAATAATAACATTAAGCATCCTATTTTACATTGTTGTCGTTTAATGCATAAAAGAATAAGGTTGAGGGTTGCCTCAAGAGGCGGTATGCATAAAGAACAGTAGCTCTTTACCAGAAAAGAGATCAAGTAGTTGCGATAAAATTGGATTGTTTTTTTACAGACCTTCTCAAACTGTTCACGAATTGTTTGTATGTAAACATTATCTTGTTTTCATTATTATAGAAAAGTTCATCAAGTATCGGCCATCTCAATTACACAATCAAAATTATACCCTTTTTCCAGCATGAGAATCCCCTTAATATGAATCCATTCACAAATTATATAGAATAAGTTACCGTTTGAGTGTCACTGGTATATCCCAAAATACAATAGAGCCAAGGATGTTCTCAGAGATAAATGTGCAAAGATAAGTCGGTAGTTTAGTGTAACAATGCGGCCGTATCACGTGGGTTTGTGTCTCCCTCCATTGATCTCCCGATTGCCATCCCGAATATATGCGGAATTGATTCATTTTGGTATACCGAGACTTTATCCCGATCCAGATGGGAATAAGAATCTCACTGTGTGTTCCTTTTTTGGGATTCTATAATACTAAAACTTTATGGGTAAAGATGCGGGATAAAGGGATTTTATGTTGAATATTGATTTAGTAATTTAAAACACTCAATATTGAGATAATGACATTTTTGTTTTGGTCACTGGAAATACGATTATCAACAGGTCTACTGGTAGGTAAAAAAAGATATCTTTTAAATGACTGGTTCGAGGAAGCAGATGGTAAAAGGGTTAATTGGTAAAGGCGCGCGTTCATTTTTTCCAAATTGATGTCTTTTTATTTTCTTCTAATTGGGGTATAATTAGCCCGTGTATATACACGTATAACACAATTTAGGCAACTTTAATCTACCAGATGACGCGACTAAGTAAAAAGTTATTCATCAACGTCACTCCCTTGGCTTTTAAATATTTTATTTTGAGGGTACCTACATATAGCGGCTTGACTTTTAATTTTTTGGAAAAAGCATTTTTATTAATTTATTGCGAATTCTTAAATTTCACAATTTGTACCACGAATAGCACTTTTAACATCTCCAGACCACACTCTAAAGTTAATATCGTTATAATTTAATTGTCCATTTAAAAACCTTGGCATGGTATTGGTCAAAACGTACAATCTGTCTCCAGAAATCCTGACATCCGATGGATAAATTAGTTGGTCGTCGTCTCTTTGGATTATCGACAACGTCTCGATGCCTTTATTAATATTCCAGCAACCAACTGAATTTTGATTTACTAGGGCCATGAATAAGATGCCTGTTGGCTTGTGGATGTCAGCGGTGGAGGTTTGGAAGTTTGGACCTTTATCACCAATTTCCTATAGATATATAAAATAATTTAAAAAAATTCTCCATAGATATATAGGTCCTAATTCTTACAACGAAATCTCCTTCATCGTGCACACGTCGAGTAGCCAAAGCCTCATTCCTCAAAACCTTAGTGGATACTTTGTAAATTCTAGTACCAGCCATCGCATGGAAAAACATATCTCTGTACCCATCAGGCTTTTCTTTGGAAAGTTGCACACTAAAAATACCATCGTTAAACTGGAAACTGTATCCAGCAATGAGGAAGTTTTTGGCTTGCGGATCTGGCAGAAAATACCAGTGGTTGACTCTCCAGGCTTTGTTTTGTTTGAGACTATAGACGATCAAACCCCAACCAGATAAATCTAGAATAAAATGGCTTTACTTAATCTCAGTCATTTGGACTTGCAAGAAACAGATAAAAATAATCACATTTATCTAATATTGTGAAATTGTTGAATAAATTTACCTGGAATATAAGCAAAAGCATCCTCACAATTCTTTTTCGAAGCATCTATATTCAAATTAGCCAATACAGTGGCCGACTCTATCACATTATCTGGCAAATTGTATCTATGAATAACCTTGTCTGTATTTAAATTAATTATAACAATTTGGTGCTGTTTAATTTTAGTCCGATTTCCTGGATACTCCAAAATCCCCGTGTCCACAAACCACATTCTGTCACAAGCATCTATGGCTGTTCTATACACTGATACGAAATTTTCCTTGGAATATATATTATTGATTTTCCAATTGGGATATGGTTTCAAAGGTACGTTTTTCTTGTGTTTGTTGGTTCTAAGCGGTATATAATTGAGGGTTGAAGGTATTCCTGGACGTCTTCTGGCAATCGAGATGAAAAGTTTGTCTTGCCAGACATTTGCACCCATAGGTATGTTATTTTCTAGTAAGCAAACAAAAATATAGACAATTCAAATTATTATTCCTAAAAGTATTTACCATATTGATAATCTATTATTTCTTGGTGATCTCGATTTATGATATCCTGTGCATTAGTCTGGCCATCGAAAACAATACGAGATGGGTCCTGTTCTACTGATCCAGAATTATATTTTTGATTTTTTGACCATCTAAAAAACCCACTTGTAAATATTGTACAATTAAGCCTTCACTCACTGATAATCAATTCTACTCCAACTAAATTCAACATTTAGGCCTGCACTTGAAACATACACAACATAAACAATTAATAAATAAAATATTTTCATTTTAATATTTGAAAATATAAGAAGTTATCTTCTTTGCAGTTGACATTGAACTAAATTGTTGTTGTGTAGATATTTTTATTAATCCTGAGCCGGTTTCAGGTTATTCACCACAATTTGCATTTTGTTCTGTAAACAATTTATTCTAATTAGGAAAAAGCATGATTGTGGGTATATTAGGTAAACAAGACCCATATCGACAATTTTCTAAAAAAAAAATGTGCATCAAACAAAAAATTCATCGGCCATTCGATCCGCAAATAGCGGCCGAACTGAATGCAATCAGTTTTAATTAACAGCGCAGAAAAGTTTAAATTTGCAATGAGTATAAATCTTTGTGTTCGGCCATTCGGGGATTTAGTGTGGAACGCATGATAAAACTGTACCTAACCCGAGTTTTACACGCTAATGAGGGCAGCCTGGCCAGTTACCCACCGCAGGGGAGCAGCGACGGGATCCGCATCGTTCCCGTATATACCCACCCAAAACTGAACCCCCTTTTTTTCCGAAAGGGGGGGAGTTGTTTGGGGAACTCTCGAAAATCAAACGATAATGTATATTTGGAATATTATTAACTAATGAGGATTCTACAAGTTTGGGTTAGTGGATGAACAAATCATGATAGAGTCGTTTATAACAGAAGACGGAAAAATTGAAGAGGAAACCATGGAGAGAGAAACAAAAGTAAAAAGATAATGTTGAAAACTGATTCCTAAAGAAAAGAGAATTCTTGAGTCTTGACAAAAGGCCAAAAACGAAATTGAGAAAGTGGTCAAACACTTACATACTAAAATCTACATGGACTACACCAAGTGATTTTTAGCTGAGAACTGAAGCATTCAAAGATACACTCAAGAACTGAATAGTGAACTGTATTGGCACGGTCCAGATGTACTTGGATCAAAAAATCTTGGATCGTATTAACTGTTTATAAGCCATGTTAACACGGTTCAATGTGCATTTGAATGAGAATTTGGACCAAGTAAGATGGCAGCCAGCCTACTTACCTGGATGTTAAGACCTTTCTAATTGGCCTTAGATAGGTCCTGTAACATCCAACTCAAATGGTCCAAGTTCTCATCCAAGTTTACTTGGACCGTGCCAACCTTGCTTTAGAAAATAGAAAGATGTTATGGAAAAGTTCTAGACTTCCGAGATGTTAGTATACAGATGAAAAGTTACCTTATCTTTGGTGGAATAAATTAGACACGATGGTAGGTGAACAACCAAGCAGAAACTGTAAAAACATGTTAAGCATTAGGAAAGGTACAGTTGATGGTATAGGTAAAAGTGCAAGACAATAATAGTGATCTCCCCGAAACGAGAAATTCTGGCTTTTCGTCTCATCTCATCTCGTTTCGTTTTGATGGAATGAATTAGAAACGGTTTCCGGGACGAGAAATTCTCGTTTCTTATCTCATCTCGTGTCGAGAGCAGATTTTCTTCTGAAAAGTCACTCGTTTCGTAGATGTTTTCTCTCTTCAAGAATTTCTTGAGTTCTCTCGCTCTCACGAGCAATGTAATTAATTATTTGAATATAACAGATTTTTCCCTCGGGTCCCTGAAATCTAAGTGCGATTTCTATATTGAGTATTATTCAGGGTATTCAGGGTAGGCATGCAGAAAAATCCACCATCAATAGTGCAAAACTGTTGAAACCAAATTGAAATCCGAGTATGATTTAAATCTTGGAAAACTTTGAAAGGTCATAAGTCATTCTTTCAGTAAAGGACTACAATCTCTGAAAATTTCAGCTCTTTGGACTTATAGTTCCAGAAATAAAATCGTTTTAAGCAATTTGGGGTGATTCATCAATTTTTCAATTTTTCTGAGTGCCTTTTTCCGTAGAATCCGGCTCCAAATCTCAGAATAATTTAGTGTATGGAGTTTGGGGGGTCCTAAAGGACCATTAGGACACACAATCTCAACACATTTTTTTTTGAAATTTCTTCGCTTTAGTACTGGGGTAGCTACCTATCATTTAGATTTTGGAAAACTTTGAAAGGTTATAACTTTTTTTCTATTATAGATAGAAAGCTGAAATTTTCAGCGATCCTTATTCCAGTAAAGGACTATAATTTCAGCTCATTTGGACTTATAGTTCCCGAATTATTTGTTATTTTATAATCGTGTTAAGCAATTTGGGGTGATTTATCAATTTTTCCATTTTTCTGAGTGCCTTTTTTCATAGAATCCGGCTCCAAATCTCGGAATAATCAAGTGTATGGAGTTTGGGAGGTTCCAAAAGACCATTTAAACACAAAATCTCAGCATTTTTTTTTTTGAAATTTTGTGAAACGAGTAAGGATGAAACCTCTGACGACTCGAATGACAATCTTACCACATTTGAACTGTTAAGTGAATGTGAAAACGAATCGTTTTCAGATTCTGAGTTGGATAGAGAATTATCAAAGAATCAAAATCGAGATGGAAACAACACTTGTGTGTCTATTTTAGAAACTGGAGAACAGCGCTCTTATGAGAACGAATGGTCTGTCTTTGTTAGTGTTATGGACATATAAATATGAGCGACTGAGACAGAGCCTTCATTCTCATGAGAACACTGCTACTCGTTTCGTTACGTGTTTCGAGAATAAAGGCCCTGGTAATTGGTATAAATATAAAACAAGCAGAGTTCTAGGGGGTTTTTAACGACGATACATGGTATATTGGTCGTATTCTTGAAATTTTATCAAAAAATAAGTTCAAAATTAAATTTCTTAAGGAAGAACTATGGGCAGCGAAGGATGATATTCAGATTGTCAAAAATGAATTTATTTCCTACTAGCTGTTGCCCGCGGCTTCGCACGCCCTATAATATGTAGGTGTAGGGTGTAGGTAGCATTAGGTAATCTTCTTTCAAAGAGCTAAGGGGATAGTTGCGTCAGACATATGGTCATGTAACTCTTATTGTTGCAGCACCTCTCTGTAAACCACATTTTTTGTTCTGCTTTGTGGCTGCAGAATATGAAGACTATTTTTTGACAGCTGACGTTAAATTTTTTTGAAGTGCCACTCGCTGCTGATAACTTTGTTCGCGGATCATATTTTGAACCGATGCCGAACTAATTGAGGACTATTGTAGAGCGCATGCCCAGTTATATTTTAGCTGGGTTCGGCTTGCTCACTCCGTGCACTCCGAGTGATTCCATTCGCACTTCAGCCGTTCGGGTATTACCTTTAAGCTTATCAGATAACGGCTGAAGTGCGATCGGAGTAACTCGGAGTGAGCAACCCGAACCCAACTTGTGAATGGGTTCAGGATCCTATTTTATCGCGAACAGTTTTGGAACCGAACAAAAACTCCAGAACCTTGCTCCAGACTGTCGAATACGTGAACGAATTGCGAATGACATGTCTCAAACTTGAAATTAGCTTAGCCTGGCACCGGTGGAATTTGTTCAGAATCGGTTCCGAATCGTTTCTGGTGAAAGCATGAAAATATAACGACAAAAACACATTTTCTTTTGCACTGATTCTGCAAATGGAAATCGCTATGAATTTGATTCTGCTTGTCATATTTCTGAATTTGACAGCTGACATGTCGTCTGTTTCTGTTTACACTTTTTTCCCCGCACTCCCGCACCACACCGTTTCTTATTTTTGGTTATTAAAGGCGATTGCCTAAGGCCATGTTGATATTATTTCTTAGTGAGCATCTCCAACCTATTACCTACCTGTTTGCAAAATTTCATCTCGATTGGTTGAGTAGTTTCCGAGATTTCGTGCTTAATCAGTCAGTCAGTGAGTGAGTGAATTTCACGTTTATATATATAGATGGACCAATTTACATTGTAGGCAGTTATCCGTTCAGATTGGAACGCCATGAAAAGTTGGATGTTCTTAATTATATCATAATCTTGAAAAAAAAAAACTAAATCAAAGATTGTTTTGATTACAAATACATATGTCGCTTCCGTCTCCATAAATAATGACACATTTTTGGCATTATTGATTTTCGGAAGATTTTTGACAAGACTTCAAAATCAATACAAGCAGTAAAGATAAAAACCCAAGAACTCATTGGAAATTTTCAAAAATCCGGGTTTTTGTCAACCCTAGTCCATTTTCCTCATTTTCTTGACCTCGGAGACGAACTTACTATGCATCAAAACTAACGAGAGAAGAGCTCTCTTGTCTCATCGAGACGAGAGATTCTGAGGGAATCATTTTTTCTCGAACCTTCGATACAAGACAAGACAGAGCGTATCCTCGTCGCGTCTCGCAGCATCACTACAAGACAAAATAAACTGCTGAGGAAGATGAACTTTATGAAGATGGAAAACTTGAGAGAGATTTATTTAGGGCGGATCACCGTCAATTCGTTGTAAATCAATATTTCGTATGTAAATATGTCGTACGCCAATTTTTCATAAAGTTAATTCGCCGTAAAGACAATTCGTTGTGAAGTTATTTCGTCATATATGTCAATTTGTCGTAGCGTTGATTCGACGTACACGTTAATTCGTCGTAGAGTCAATTTGTTCTATTTGTCAATTTGTCGTGAAATAATACCCGAGTCAAGATAGCATTTGACTTATAGACAAAAATAATTTTGGTAGAGATCATGCCTGAGGGCTAAATTGCAACATACTAAAAGTCCTGGCCAATCCTTCTTCCGCAACCCCCTTTTTTCGCCCCCTAACCCCCACCTTTTTAATATTTTGATGATTTTCTCGAAAATTATCCAATTTAAGGAAAAATATCAAGAGAGCATTCTTGAAGCTGACAAAATTTTCCTTGCAATGACGTATCGTGAGCTCATATAGTGCCACGTCATACGCACCAGAGGCATATCAAATGAAGGGTTACTTTTGAAAAAATATACTGTTCGCTATTTATTCTCAGATTTTTTGATCTAAGCATAATTTTTTTAGAAGAAACATATTTTTCTCTGAGACGACCATTGAAAGGTAGTCTACTTGCGAATCTATAAGAAGTTTATCGCAATGAGTTCAGCCAAAAAAAAAAATTAGAACTTTATCCGAGACTTCTCTGCTATCAATTTGCCAAATAACAGGTGCGCCTAAAGCTTTGCGCGACGTTGAGGGAGGTAAAGTTTATTCACGAAAGGTTGTACACTTAGCCAAACATAAAACTGGTACGCATTTTCCTATTGTGTTGTATTGTGTAAATCGACCTTTTTTATCACCTCAAAAATGACAAAAAGAGTCAAATCAGTGTCATCTTTGAACCAAACATAACGCTGCATTTACTTTTGTTCAGCTTTGACATTGACAAAAACTGTCTGACCTAAGTTTTTCAAAAGAGACTTTTTGTTGTTAAGCCTGACTCACACTAGGCAAATTTGAAAAATATAATTGCCTGTACCAGTTTTATGTTTGGCCAAGTGTACTCATGACATCGATATGTCAGGATTCAATCGAAGGTTGAAACTCAACCATCGGTTCAGTGTTTTATAATACCGGCCCTTAGCAGTGGCGGATCCAGAGGTGCTTTTCGGGGGGGGGGGGCACTTACCTGAGAATGTGGTCATTTAGTAGCCGCCGGAGGCTAACTGCCGTAAGCGAGAAATTTTAGAGTGCCACGCCCGTTTTTTGGGCCTTTTAACGATATTTAATATCAATATTTGGTTGCACAGGATCATTTTTTAGGTTTCCTTACCCCTCAACTTTTTTGTGCCGCTGTGTATAAAAGAAAAGTAAAAAGGAAAAGTGTATAGGTTGAAAAATAGTTTCCACAAAACATAAACCGAATTTTCGCGACGAATGTAGTTCATCCAAGGTCGAACCATAGTTCGTCTTGTGACGTCATGAGTTCAAACGCTGGCTAGAAGCTGCATCCATGCTTCCTGCGAACTACGTTCATTATGACGTCATGAGTTTTTCGCGAAAACGTTTGTTTTCATGGAATCATGTAAGTAGTTCGTCGCGAAAATTCGGTTATAGTTTTCTTCATACAGGATCAGGGTGTTGCAGAAAGTTTAAAAAACAAAAACATATACTTTTTCTATGGGACACCCTGTTTAATAGGTATTGAATATTCGCATTCTACGTAAAACTCTGAGAAGATTTCATGTGATATACACTATACCTAAGTTCAACTGTTTTGAGAGTTGAAATTTGACTTTTTTGCAAGTTTGACAAGCTGTAAAACCTAAATGGGTAATTTTACAGCAAAACCGATTTTACATCAGTACATCAAAGTTGCAAAAAAGACAAATTTAATCTATCAATATTTGCAAAACAGTTGAACTTAGGTAAAGTGTATATTTCATGTAATCTGCTCTGAGGCCTTATTTTTGACTTTCTCTCGAAAGAACATTTGACTGTGTTGACAATTAAACAGTGCATTAACTGTTAACAATGACAAATTTTCTACCTAGGTAAAGTCAAGAATAATGCCTCAGAATCCGAATATTCAATAATCAGAATGTCCCATTTAAAAAAAAAAAAAGCAACACCCTGTATGAACAATACTATGTTTTCTGGGAACTATTTTTTGAGATATATCTACACCTTTTCTATTTACATTTTTTCTATAAGTACACAGTGGCAGAACGTTAAGGGGGTGGAAAAATATAAAAAATTACCCTGTGAATATAGTATCACAGACTTATTCTAAAAAAAAACTCAATACATATCAAAGTATCAAAATTTACAATTCTATACTGCATCAATCATCAAAATCAATAGCCGCCATCAAATCACAACCGACAAGCAGTCAGAATCACCCAATCAGTTGAAATACATAATCTTAAAAGCCTGAGAAAAAATGTTACTATTCAAAAGAATATATTTTTTATTCGTGCCTCCCCCCTGGATCCGCCACTGGCCCTTAGAGAATTTATTTTTGACAATAGTTTTTCATTTTACTGTAAGTAACATCAAAAAATGGGTATCAGCAGAAAATCACAAACAAAAATAACCACTTTTTGAGATTGAAATTTATAAACATAGCTATCAGCTGTCAAAATTATGAATACAAAATAAGGTAATACTCTAACACCTGCCACACACTCCAATAACTGTTATTTTCTTGGAAAAATAGTGCTAATGCACTAATAAAATAACGTAGATCCTTAATAGGCGAGGCAGTATTTAATAGTTCCAATAACTCTCTATTATCAAACTTACCGATAATAACCCGGTTAGTTTGTAATGTAATGTCTAATTAAACAAAAAAGTGTAAATTTCTACATTTCAACATTATACCTGAAAAACGACGAATTGACGTATACTATGAATTACCTATAGTACTACGACAAATTAACAATGCGATGAATAGACGTATTAATGCTACGACTAATTGACTTTACGGCGAATTGACTTTACGACGTATTGACTTTACGACAAATTGACTCGCAACGAATTGACATAAGACCCATTTTAGGCATACTTTCATTTCCAAATTGGAAATTTTTCTGAAAGTTACTTGATTACAGAACTACTCTTTCCAAATATTCCCAAGTCAAGTTTTGACAGGCTTGAAAGCTAGGCCTGTAGAGCTACATGAAAGATTCCAAAAATCGAAATTCGTTGGTCGTTTCAACCCCTCTCGCCCCTCGGCTATAATCTGCCATAGACGTATGTGGCACCTTGATTCATATATGCACATTTGCGCTCATGTGCTTCACAAAAGAGGGTTTAAATGATCGCGATTAAAAATTGTTTTGCGAAAGCGAATTATGATAAAAATGGCGGACATTTTTTTAAACAGGGGTTAATAATTAAATTTAATTTTTCATTAGGACAGCTTTTTTATTTTTTAAATTTACAAGCCAATCATGAAAAGACAGGAAAAACATAATCGTAAAATTAAAGGACAACCCTTCATATTCATTAATATACGGATCGTTAAGTATGTACGTGGTAGACAAATTAATCTTTTTTTATTGGCCTTTTAAAAACCGATTAGTACCAGTTCTTGCTCTTATGGTACCCCACAGCAACATATGTATGAATATCATTGTAAATTATCGACCATATCAAAAAAGCATATGCGCGGGTTTAAGTTTTGGTATTTTGAATCACAAAAACAAAAATTTGTTAATCCTTAATCGAATCCAGTCCCACAGGCGCATTTGTCGAAAATAAAAACAAACTTTCGGGACAAGTGGAACAGAACTGGAAAGCATACCACTCCAAGCTTGAAAAAAAAAAAATATCGCCAAAAACCTTTTTTCACACAACACATTTGCAAATCCTAGTGGGATCCAGAACTACTATGGCATGATCCAGAGCAGACCCCTTTCTATTTTTCGCAATGGCCGCGTGATGTTTTTTGTTTTTTTTTTTGGGATTTTTTTTTTTAGGGGTTGGTGGTCGTTATCGATGTTTTAGTGGAATTGCATGTCGGGTTAATAATGAATGCGCCCCGAACGTTGCCAGGGCCCTGGATATTTTAGAGAACTCCAGTGTGATTTTCTGTTATTCTGGTTAATTTCGAGCGCTCGTTCCGACACCGTTCGCCTGCTCAATATTCATTGGCGTTATTTTCGAGCATCGATGTCATATATGTCTGAATTCGCTAATGCGATTGTTGAGTCCGGGCTACATTTTTGTGGTTTTTAATTGAATTATTTCAACGTTGAAAGCGTTCAATTATTGATCAGGACGGGATTTACATCGGCACGGCCAACGATTTTAAAATAATTATTAATGGACGATCGATTTGTATTATTAAAAAATTTAATCCGATTTCCTGTTGGTTTAAACGTTATCGGGAATTTATTGTGGCATGTTTAAATTCAGAATCAGTTTATCATCGTAAGGGGAATCTGAATCTTTGGTCTTCTTCTTTATCTACTTTTAAGAACTTAATGTTTCCTCAAAATCGATTTTGTATTGGTCCAACAACAACACAACAATTCGTATATGAAATCTATTGATTGTTCTTCTATTTTATTTACAAATCTTCCAGTATCACATTATAAACACATAACAAATCAAGGATGTCTCCCAATGGGTCGATTAATTTCAAGCTCCAAATGCGTCAACCGATTGGGAGATCACTCAACTATCCAGATTTCATAGTGACATTTTTTCTTTCATTAAGGCATATCTATGGTTTCATTCATCTTTCGTTTTTTTTTTCTGAGATTTCTTTTGAGTCTATACATAGAAAGGAACAACCACAACAATGGATTCCAAAGATCACAACAACAAAACAAGGTTCTATTGATCAACAAAATATAAGAAGTCAAACCCCTCTTCAAAAGTCACATGCATAGAATCAAAAATAGGAAAATCGAATATTCATTAAGCAGTTTAGTGGGCTATATCCGAACGCCGTAAAAACGTCCGGATTCCTTCGTCGTTCCAGAAATATATCGACGGCAGTGCATCGTCTGCGAAAATCTGCTCGTATATATTGTCAAGGAAAAGTAATCTTGATCCTGGCTTTTGGCTTACCAGAAATCGCGCCAGCTTTATACCCATAGTATGGGTCGTATATTTTACACTTTTTGTTTTATTTTAAATAGATAAAATTTACTATTACTTGGCTCTCCTTGTATTAATGTAAATACTAAATGCCCCTCTCTTCTATTCTGTCCAAGTCATTGAAATCGTATTAAAAAATAAGTTTCAAAGATAAAATAACTATTGCATAAAGTTGTTAGTATCAGTTGCTGGTCAGTGGAAAGATAAAGTCAATTATTTAATGATAAATTAATTAAACAAAATGCGTTTGTTATTGTTTTTTGGTTTTTGTGTTGTGCATGTGTCAACGACTGGATTAAATGAAGAATTTAGCTGGAGTAGGATAACTTATGAATGGCCTGAAGATGGTACTTTGAGTTCGAGATTTGGAAGGTAATTTCATTATTTTTTTATTCCAGGCTCTTGAATTTTCCCTATTTTTTTATTCCTGGTACTTTTAAATTTTCATTATTTTTGTTTCAACTGCCCACATTAAATTATATAATCCAAAATGGAAAGTTTCCTATAATATATTTTTCCATTTTGCTAGACGTTCAGTTATCCCATTGTATACACAAAACAGACCCCACTTGAATGCGGATCCTATTGTTTTCGAGGGCAGCACCAATGCAGATGTAAATCGACAAACAAAACGAAAGGAAAATCAAAATAATGATAATAATAATGAGGCCGATAATGTACCAGAGTCAATGGATTATCAATATGGTAAGAGAGGAAAAATTATTATATTATATAATAGATGCTGATTACATGAGGGTCAAAAGAGTGCAAAAAAAATTCTCAAAACAAATAAAATTCTTGCAATTTCGTGATTATACATTATACAGGGTGTCCTTAGGTAAACTGACAACAAATCTTGGAAGTTTGGAATCCCTCTGATTCTTTGAAGTATTTTTCAGAAGCTTTCAAAGGTGATTTAATAGAAATTTTGTATGATTCTTTTGCATCTAAGTGAAAAAAAAAATCATAATTTAATTCCTGAGCCTAGGATTCATTCACGGTTTGTTTAATTTAATGAAAATACCCTAATGAATGAATCCTGAAAATTTAAGTCCTTCTGGTTGCTTGAAGTATTTTTCAGAAGCTTCCAAAGGTGATTTAATCGAAATTTTGTATGATTCTTTTGCATCAAAGTGAAAAAAAAAATCATAATTTCATTCCTGAGCCTAGGATTCATTCACGGTTTGTTTAATTTAATGAAAAGACCCTAATAGATGAATCCTGAAAGTTTGAAGTCCCTCTGGTTGCTTGAAGTATTTTTCAGAAGCTTCTAACGGTGATTTAATCGAAATTTTGTATGATTTTTTTGCATCGAAGTGAGAAAAAAATCATAATTCCATTCCTGAGTCTAGGATTCATTCACGATTTGTTTCATTCAATAAAAATACCCTAATGATAAATCCTGAAAGTTTGAAGTCCCTCTGATTGCTTGAAGTATTTTTCAGAAGCTTCCAAAGGTGATTCAATCGAAATTTTGTATGATTCTTTTGCATCTAAGTGAGAAAAAATTCATAATTCCGTTTCTGGGCCTGAGATTTATTCGTGATTTGTTCTATTTGATAATAAGACCCTATTCAATAAATCCTGGAAATTTGAAGTTCCTCTGATTGCTTGAAGTATTTTTCAGAAGCTTCCAAAGGTGATTCAATCGAAATTTTGTATGATTCTTTTGCATCTAAGTGAGAAAAAATTCATAATTCCGTTTCTGGGCCTGAGATTTATTCGCGATTTGTTCTATTTGATAATAAGACCCTATTCAATAAATCCTGGAAATTTGAAGTTCCTCTGATTGCTTGAAGTATTTTTCAGAAGCTTCCAAAGGTGATTCAATCGAAATTTTGTATGATTCTTTTGCATCTAAGTGAGAAAAAATTCATAATTCCGTTTCTGGGCCTGAGATTTATTCGTGATTTGTTCTATTTGATAATAAGACCCTATTCAATAAATCCTGGAAATTTGAAGTTCCTCTGATTGCTTGAAGTATTTTTCAGAAGCTTCCAAAGGTGATTCAATCGAAATTTTGTATGATTCTTTTGCATCTAAGTGAGAAAAAATTCATAATTCCGTTTCTGGGCCTGAGATTTATTCGCGATTTGTTCTATTTGATAATAAGACCCTATTCAATAAATCCTGGAAATTTGAAGTTCCTCTGATTGCTTGAAGTATTTTTCAGAAGCTTCCAAAGGTGATTCAATCGAAATTTTGTATGATTCTTTTGCATCTAAGTGAGAAAAAATTCATAATTCCGTTTCTGGGCCTGAGATTTATTCGTGATTTGTTCTATTTGATAATAAGACCCTATTCAATAAATCCTGGAAATTTGAAGTTCCTCTGATTGCTTGAAGTATTTTTCAGAAGCTTCCAAAGGTGATTCAATCGAAATTTTGTATGATTCTTTTGCATCTAAGTGAGAAAAAATTCATAATTCCGTTTCTGGGCCTGAGATTTATTCGCGATTTGTTCTATTTGATAATAAGACCCTATTCAATAAATCCTGGAAATTTGAAGTTCCTCTGATTGCTTGAAGTATTTTTCAGAAGCTTCCAAAGGTGATTCAATCGAAATTTTGTATGATTCTTTTGCATCTAAGTGAGAAAACAATCATAATTCCATTCCTGAGCCTAGGATTCATTCACGGTTTGTTTTATTTAATTGAACAGCCCTAATGAATAAATCCTGGAAGTTTAAAGTCTCTCTGATTGCCTAAAGTATTTTTCAGAAGCTTCCAAAGGTCATTTAATCGAAATTTTGTATGATTCTTTTGTATCTAAATGAGAAAAAAATCATAATTCCATTCCTGAGCCTAGGATTCATTCATGGTTTGTTTTATTTAATAAAAAATCCCTAATAAATAAATCCTGGAAATTTGAAGCCCCTCTGATTACTTAAAGTATTTTTCAGAAGCTTCCAAAAGTCATTTAATCGAAATTTTGTATGATTGTTTTGTATCTAAGTGAGAAAAAATTCATAATTCCATTCTTGAGTCTAGGATTCATACACGGTTTGTTTTATTCAATAAAAAATCCCCTAATAAATAAATCCTGGAAATTGGAAGCCCCTCTGATTGCTTGAAGTATTTTTCAGAAGCTTCCAAAGGTCATTTAATCGAAATTTTGTATGATTTTTTTGCATCTTAGTGAGAAAAAAATCATAATTCCATTCCTGAGTCTATGATTCATACAAGGTTTGTTTTATTCAATAAAAATAGCCTAATGAATAAATCCTCAAAGTTTGAAGTCCTTCTGATTGCTTGAAGTATTTTTCAGAAGTTTCCAAAGGTGCTTCAATGGAAGTCAGTTTATCTAAGGACACCCTGTATATTATTTTATTTATCACAATAATTAACAAATAATTTAAAAATCAATCCTCATAAAAATACAAAGCAATTTTAATGTTTAATGCCTGTAAAACTGTAATTCCTACCTATAAACCATGACTAGGTAATACATTATAATTAATTCTTGTGCATTATTTTAAATAAATTTCCAGTTAACAACATTCCAATGGGCGCCAACGTTTGGCAAGACAAACTTTTCATTACAATACCCAGAAGACGTTTAGGGGTACCATCGACCTTGAACTATGTACCACTAAAAAATGCCAAAAAACATAACGTACCTTTAAAACCTTATCCAAATTGGGAAATGAATTTATATCCAGACACGAGCGATTCCAAAGAAAATTTCGTTTCAGTTTATAGAACTGCTATTGATGTTTGTGACAGGATGTGGTTTGTGGATACCGGAATTGTAGAAACGCTTGGTAAATGTTTTTTTTTTAATGAATTAACATTGAACTAAATAGTTGCAATAAGGTTATTAATTCGATGTAAATAACCAGAACAAGAATGCTAATTGATGTATAGTTAATCCGATCAAGGTGAACTTTTACATATTTTCTAAGGTTTTTATCGCACCCAGATAAAATAATATATTTCCGGAAAGGATTAAGTACACACAATCATTGAATCGAAATAAGACCCTGCAGTCATTCCTAAAACTGCTTTTACAATAGGAAATAAACATTACGAGTTTATTCATAAATGCCATTTGGTCTCAAAAATGCCCCATCAGATTTCCGTAAAATGATCGTAATAGGGTAGAGTCAAAAATAAAGTAATTTTCAAATCAAAATCGTTCTTGAAGGACTCACATTTTTGTTTTAATTTTTCAGGAAATCGTACCACAGTAAAGCCCCATCAAATAGTCATAATCAACCTAAACACAGACAAAGTAATCCATAGATTCAACTTGCCCGATAGTGTAATAACTCCAAATACAATTTTGGCTAGTTTGAACATAGACAGTCCCAAAGGATCTTGTGGAGATGCTTATGCCTATTTTCCAGGTACTAAAACCTCAAAAACCAATAAATATATAATTATTAATTGTTATTATTAATAGATCTATCAGGTTATGGTTTGATAGTCTATAGTCTCAGAGAAAACCGGGCTTGGAGGGTGGCCCACAACTATTTCTACTTGGAACCTATGGCTGGAGATTTTTTCATTGCTCAACATAATTTCCAATGGAACGATGGAATTTTCAGTGTAGAATTGAGCGATCTTAAAGCTAATGGGTACAGGGATATGTATTTTCATGCTATGGCTGGTACCCATGTCTATAAAGTATCTACGAGAATTTTAAGGAATGAAACTTTGGCTACTAGGAGTTATCATGGAGATGATTTTGTTGTGAGTATATTGTATCATAATTGTTTTGCGGCGTTGGTATTATCAACATTTACACACAACTGCAAATTCCAAAATAAATTCGCAGTGGCGGCTCGTGACTATTTCAAGTGAAGAGGCTAATTACAGTATAGGATTTCATGAAATTCCATTTTTTTTTTTTTTTAACTTTTCTATAATTCCTCAAAATTTTACCACTGAAATATCCTGGAATTCCACAAAATTTTCATAAAACTCTTTGGAATTTCATTGACATTCCATATAATTTCTTAAAAATTTCTCGGAATTCACTCAAATTTTATGAGAATATCCACGTTCATAATCGAAAATTTCTCGAAAATCCAATGAAACTTTAAGGAATTTTCATAAGAATTTTTCGGAATTTCCCTGAAATTCTTTTTTAATAGCCAGGAATTTCTGGGAATATTAATGAAGTTTCAAGTTATTTCTTAAAAATTCATCGAAATATATTGAAATTTCATGTTATTACATGGTAATTTTTCGGAATATCACCGAAATTCCATGTTTTTAGTTGGAAATTCCTCGGAATTACTAAAATTCAGTAAAAACTGAAATTTCATGTTGGGAATTTCGGTGTTATTTCATGTAATTGTTTAAAATTCCTCCATGTAATTCATTTAGGATTTCGTGTAATTCAATCGGAATTTTACTGAAATTTCAAGTAATTCGAGAGGAATTAAAATTTAATATGAATTCTATGGAAACTCCGCAAAAATTTCACATCTTATTCCTTTTTCAGAATAACATAATTATTCTACCGAAATTCCACTAAATTATGGAATTCTGAGATTTTAATAGATTTTTGGGGATTCCAAAGGATATTTGGGAATTTTAAAGGAAATATTTTTCAGAAATGTCAATGATTGGGTTTAAAATAACCTATAAATCGAGATTTGTTAAAAACATATGGCAATGCTGCTCATGATACAACAAACGTCAAAAAATTGAAATATCAAAGTAGGCCTTGGTTTTTTTTGACAGTCGATATAAAATGGCGTCTTTTTGTTTCAAAGATTACGATCCGAAAAGCCGAAGTATTAAAATCAATTGACAATGAACGGGTTCGTTTAATTCCGGCCCTCCGGGCTCGTATAAACTCGGACCTTCGGGCTCATGACTAAAATAACTCCGGCCTGTCGGGCTCGTATAACTCCGGCCCTTTGGGTGCGCATGATTCCGGCCCTTTGAACTCGTATAACCTCGGACCTTTAAGCTCATAATTGAAATAACTTCAGCCTTCCAGAATCAAGATTCGAAAAAAAAACATATAGCAACACTGCTTATAATACAACAAACGTCAAAAAATTGGCCCTGTTTGGCTACTTTTTACGTATTCGCCGAGGCTAAATCTATATACCCATGTGGGTTTTTTTTTTTAATTTTGACAACTGTCAATGTCAAAAAATTTTACCTTTTCTTTTTTTCGAAAAACAAATCTCAGAAAACGATCCCCAGGCCTCGAAAACCCTAAAATAAGAAGTTTTATCGATATATGTCAAAAACCAACCGCCTGGCAACGCCGAACGTCTTTTTTGACACATGTTAAAAAAAAAAAAATTGGTACTTCCTACGTATTCGCCGAGGCTAAATCTATATGCCCATTAAAATTTTGACAGCTGTCAATCTCATCAAAAAAATCTTCTGTTTTTTCCAAAACAACCCAGTTGGTACAAAAAATTCAATTTCCCGTCGGGTTTGGAATTCGAATTTTTGAATTTTCCCGGCTCCTGATTGGTTTGGGGATTCGAATTTTGTTTATTCCCGGCTCTTGATTGGCTTTAAAATAATTTATAATCTCGGCCTTTCGAGCTCGAGATTTGAAAGAAAAACATATGGCAACACTGCTCATGATACAACAAACCTCAAAAAATTGAAATTTCAAACCTTGGGTTTTTTTGACAATCGATACAAAATGATGTCTTTTTGTTTCAAAGATTAGGGCCCAAAGGGCCGGAGTATGAAAAATCAGTTAACTTTTGTCGCACGATACTTTAGCAATATCGACAAATGTCACCTGTCAAATTTGACACATGTTCGACTTTTTCCCCGCTCTACTATAAAAGTTACGCAAATCAAACCCCGGTACAAGGCAGTTTCGCGACGCTAACTATCGATTTGTGTCAAAAAAAGTTGACAGCTGTCAACGTCAAAAAAGTTTTTTTTTTTTTATTTTGCGAATTTCGAGAAAAAAAGTGATAGAAAACGATCCCCGGACACCAAAAACCTCAAATAAAAATTCCAAAAAAAAACCTACGAAAATGATATTCCAAAACCTACTTGATAAAACTAAAGTTTTTCTCACCCCGTTAAAACACTGGAATTTTTTGGTGGAAAATGGAGAAAACTCAAAGCCTCGTACTTTAAATCGGTTTTTCCGACCAGAAAAGCCCTGGAAAAGCAAACAAATTCAAAGAAACACATCTAAACATGACATTCCAAAGCCTACTTAATGAAATTTGAGTTTTTGTCACTTATCCCATTGAAAAACTGGGAATTTTTAGTACAAAATGTAGGAAAAGCCTCGTATTTCAAATCGGTTTTCTTGACTGAAAACGGCTTGGAAAAGCGGAAAATTCGAGGAAAAACTGGATAGAAATGTAAACACGTCAATTAAAAATTACCGACTGTCAAAACTGGCAAATGACATTTATTCTTCTTCTTCTTATTAGAAAAGGCTTGTGTTGCCAACATAGTTACTAAATTTTTGACTTGGGGAATTATCTTTAAAAAAAAAACAGACTTTATTTGAAGTTGGTACAAACAGTGTTGCTACATCAAAACTTTCAAAAAACCCATTTTAAATGGGTTTTGTTATTTATGTCATTTTAAAACTGGACATTTTTGCTAGAAAATGAAGAAAACTCAAAGCCTCGTATGTTAAATTGCTTTTTTCCATTGAAAAGCCCCGGAAAAGTGAAAAATTCGAGAAAAAACTGGCAAAAAGTTACAAGGCGTCACCTCAAAATGGCCAACTAAAAGCAACGTTGCCACATCTCATTTCGGAAAACAAAAATAACATTTTAAAAGGGTTTTTTGTTTAAAATTCAATTTAATAATTAATTAATAATGATTAAAATAATTAAAATTTCCCAAATAAATCATAGGAAACTTGTTTTTAGTTTAATTTCAATGAAAATGACATTACAAGGTTTCCTTAGTGAGTAAGACAAAGACAATGATAAAGTAGTATATGTTTGCAAAAACCACCGTTTTCTGAAACTCCGGCCCTTCGGGCTCGCATATAACTCCGGCCCTTCGGGCTCGCATATAACTACGGCCCTTCGGGCCGGTATTACTCAGTATCCCAGATTCACAGATATTTGTCGTGGAGGCGCGGGATTGATTAAAATAATGTTGTCAGACTTTTCTAAATTACATTGAAATATTGAAAATTGGAAAGTGTAATTTGTTAATTATTATTTTAATTAGAAATCAGGACTCCTCTGACGAGCCGCCACTGTAAATTCGGACCATTTTAAGAAGATGAAAAACAAGGGAGATATATTCAAATGAGTAAAAATCAAATAATTATTCAGTTTGAAACATCCATAATTCTCAGGAAATTGATTGAGCATGAGAGATCGAATGTCAATTGAAAAGATCAGAAAAGAATCATCACACTTAGGGCCAGTTTTACAAACAGCGGTAACCACAAGACAATGGTAAGGTAACCAACAATGTTTCACAATGTTTGTTTGATGAGTCAAAAACCTTGGTCAAGAATCAGAAAACTTAAGTCAATCCTTATTTTGCGAACTTATGGTTAACTCGGTAACTATTTAGTTTGATAACCATTGCAGGTTTTCACCAATAATAATTATGATTTTTGTGAAACTGGGCCTTAATTAACTTTACTATCTGTTATTTCATTTTTATAATCCAGAAACCCAAATATCCACATAATTGTAAACCACAATTATTAAAAAACAAATATTCCTCTAGGTTGTTGGTGACAAAGGTCCAAAATCTCAAACATCTACCGCTGACATCCACAAACCTACAGGCACAATGTTTATGGCACTAGTAAACCAAAATGCCTTAGGATGTTGGAACATCAACAAAGACCTAAAAACCTTATCCATAGTCCAAAAAGACGACCAACGCATGATTTATCCGTCAGATGTCCGAGTTTCTCAAGACAAAGTTTACGTTTTGACCAATACGATGCCGGAATTCTTGTATGGACGTTTGAATTATGATGAGACAAACTTCAGAGTTTGGTCGAGTGATGTTAGAAGTGCTATCCAAGGGACTATGTGTCAAGGAGGAAGATCTGCTTAAGTTTATGTTGTTATTATTATTATTGATAAATAAATTTTAAAATCTTAAAATGAGGGCTTGACAATAAAAATTTTCTACATGAACTAACCCAGAAACGGTTAGGATTTTGTAGGTAATTCTTTAGCTGTCCCATTGTTAAGTGAACACAATCAGATACCTAATCCCAAATAATTCTTCTTTTTCTTTTGGAGACAAATCTATTGATATATTTCTGGTATTGTGCAAAAAAAAGGCAAGTCGAGTACCTCTATACAAGTTTAATTTAGGGGAAGTAATGATTTAAAGTTACTGTTGCAATAGAAAAAAAATTCGTGCACGTTGCCATCTCGGAGTCACTGGCCAAAGCTCTAAACTGTGAGCTTTTTACAGTGCGCACAAAAATCGTTTTTTATGCAGACATTTTTAGATTCTTTTAAATTCGGTCAGTGTTGTGGCGCCTCTGGTGGCAAACTTTCAAACTGAGGTTTTATACTTTTACAAATTGTGAAGCTTTTGGATCAATGACTATAAAGTTAATTTTAATTTAATTTTAGTTCATCATTTGATATCAAAGATTTAGTCAAGTAGGCATGTTGATGAACACCCTAGAGAAAAAGAGCTAAGTTGAGCTTAATACATGAAAATACAAAATTATTAAAAATAAAAGTACATAAACATAATTGAAAAAGTATATTGGTGTATGTATACAATTAAAAAAAAAGTTTAGGTTCCACCGAGATTTGAACTCGGATCGCTGGATTCAAAGTCCAGAGTGCTAACCATTACACCATGGAACCTCATGATGATAGATTTTCAATACGCGGTTTTACTCTATAATGATATTCGGTGTATGGCCTACTTGGATCAACGAGTTTCTAAGCGTAGAGGGACAAAATCATTTCAGATGACTGTTGAATTATGTATTTTCATAAGCGCAACTAGGCTCCAAATTTGAGGGGTGCTACAGCACCATTTTTTGTTTTCTTTTATTCATTTTTTTTTTTTTTTTTTTTGGAGTTTGATGGAAAGAAAATGAGACGCGTAAAAGGTTAGTTTCACGAGGGTTTGTACTTACGTCATCATTTGCCTTTTTTTAAAAAAAATAGGTTTGTTTTTATGTCTGAAATTTCGAACAAACATATAGTTCGTTGCACAGCACGCAGGTTTTTACTTACGTCATCGATGACGTCATAACTTAGAGAAAAAGTTATGTCATAGATTAATTCATGGAGCACCCTCGGAATTATTGTTTTGTAATACATTTTTTAACTTAGAAGAGAATTTATTCAGTTTTCCGAAAATATATAAATAAAATTTCTCCTAGAGTGATTTTTCACTGTAAAATTTTCAAAATTTTCCCTCTGCTAGTTTTCCAGAAAAAAAATTAAAATGTAAGAGGATGAATTTTCCTTAATTTTGCTTGAATAATTCAATTTTCCACAACTTTTCCTGAGTGATTTTTAATGAAAAATTTTGAAATTTTGCTTTAATGAGATCCTCACTTTCCGCTTTTTTTCTGGAAAACTGGAAAATTTTGAAATTTTTATATCTCCTCCTCATTTTTTTCTTTCTCCTGGAAAAATTTCACAAGTTTTGCTTTATTAGTTTTCCAGAAATAAATTGAAATATGAGAGGATGAATTTTCCTTAATTTTGCTTAAATAAGTCCAGAATTTTTCCTGAAGTGATTTTTCACTGGAAAATTTGGAAATTTTTCTTTAATGAGATCCTCACTTTCCTCTTTTTTCTGGAAAATTTTCACAATTATCCTGTTGCCAGTTTTCTAGAAAAAAAATAAAACGTAAGAAAATAAATTTTGCTTAAAAAAATCAAAATTTCCTTAGTTTTTGCATTTTCGAAAAACTCATAATTCTCGTAATTCACCCGTAACTTTTTCGTAATTTTCCCATAACTTCAAAAATCATAATTTTTTCGTAATTCCCGTAATTTTTTGTACCCATTATAATTCTCCTAATTTTTTTAAAAAACTTCGTTATTTTTAAATTCCCCCCAATTTTTTCAATTTTCATAATTTCAAATATTCGTGATTTTCGTAATTCCTATAATTTTTGTAATTTTTGTAATTCTCTTTATTTTTATAATTCTAGTAATTTTTTGTAATTCCTGCAATTTTCCGTAACTTTTCAAAAATTGCGAAAAAGTGAGCGTCAAAATCGCAGGAAAGTGACGTTGGAATTACGAAAAATAGAAATAAAAATTACAGAAAAATGAGGTTGGAAATGCTGGAATTGCGAAAAAGTTGAGTAAAAATGGTGGAAAAGCAAGGTTATAATCAAGAAAAAATGAGGTTATAAATACGAAAAACAAAAATAAAGATTTTGAAAAAATTAGGTTGAAATTGCGGAAATGTGAGGCGAAAATCCCGGAAAAGTGAAATTATACTTATTGAAAAATCAGGCAAGAATAACGGAAAAGTGAGGCAAAATTCGCGGAAAAATTTGTTGAAATTGCGAAAAAGTGAGTTTGGACTTTGAAATTGCAGAAAAGTGAAGGTGAAATTGCGAAAAAAAATTGTTGAAAGCCGTTATTTCTCAAATAAATTTCGTTGTTTTTATAATTTTTCCTTAGTTTTTGCAATTTTCGCAAAACTCGTAATTTTCGTAATTCCCATAACTTTTCCGTAAGTTCCTTAATTTTTCGTAACTTTCCAAAATTCATCGTAATTTTTCTGTAATTCCCATAATTTTTGAATAATTCCTGTTGTTTCTCAGATTTTCGTAATTTTTTAATTTCTGTAATTTCTCAAAATATTCAGTTTCTTATTTTATAATTCTCCCTAAGTTTTTGTTACTTTCAAAAATTCGTAATTCCCGTAATTTTAATTTTTTTTTTTTTTTTGTAAATTTTCATTATTTCCGTAATTTCTCAGATAATTCTCCCTATTTCTATAATTCTTCCGTAGTCATTGCAATTCTTGGAAAACTCGTAATTCCCGTAACTTTTTCATAAATCCCATAACTTTCCAAAAATTATCGTAATTTTTTCGCAGTTCTCGTGATTTTTTCTTATTTCTTTCAATTTTTATATTTCCTGTAGTTCTTCAAATTTTCGTAATTTTGTAATTCCCGTAATTTCCCAAAAACTCTTTTTCTTGCAATTTTCGGAAAATTCGTGAATCCCGTAACTTTTTGTAATTCTTGTTATTTTCGTAGTTTTTTGAAAATTGTCACAATTTGTGATTTTTTCGTATTTTTCATAATTTTTGAATAATTCCTGTAGTTTTCAGATTTCCGTAATTTTTTAATGCCTGTAATTTCTCAGAAAAAATCGTTATTTTGATAATTCCGAAAACATGTAATTTTCGTAAGTATTTTATTTTGGGAATTTTCGAAATTTTGTAATTCCTGTCATTTCTCAGATAATTCTCGTTATTTCCATAATACCTCCTTAGTTTTTACGATTTTCGAAAAACTCGAAATTTTCGTAATTCCCATTATTTTCGTAATTTTTTAATTTCTCAAAAAAATTCCATTAGTTTTATAATCCCCCTAAGTTTTTGAAATTTTCGAAAGTTGGTAATTTCCGTATTTTTTTTAGGGGATTTTCGAAATTTTTTAATTCCTGTCATTTCTCAGATAATTCTTGTTATTTTCTAATTCACCCTTATTTTTTTCAATTTTTGGAAAACTTGTTAATTTTCGTTATTCCAGCAATTTTTCGCGCTTTTCCCATCCTGATGTTTTCGTAATTCCAGTAATTATTTGTATTTTGAATTTTTTAATTTTTCTTCCTAAGTTATTGTAATTTTCGTAATTTCAAAAACTTGTGATTTCCGTTATTTTGGGAATTACCGTAATTCACGTAATTTTGAAATAATTTTGTAATTCTTTCCCGTAATATTTCGTAATACCCGTAATTTTTGTAATTTTCGTAGTTTTTCGAATTTTTTTCATTCCCCGTAATTTTTATAATTTCTCTTAATTCCCGTAAATTTTCGTCATATCCGTTATTTTACTGGGTTCCGTAAATTTTTTCTTGTAATTTCTTGTTGGTTTTCGTAACTTTTCATAAATTAGTAATATTTAAATAATTGACGTAATTTTGGAGTAACTTCGTAATTATTTTGTGTAATATTTGGCAATTCCCATAATTTTTGTAATTCCCGCAATTTTTTGTTATTCTGTGATTCTCGTCATGTTCCGTAATTCTCGTAAATGTTTGCAATTCTCATAATTTTTCATATGTATTTTACGTACTTTAACGTAATTCCCATAATTTTTCGTAACTTTTCAAAAATTATCGTTATTCTCGTAATTTTGAAATGAGGAAAAATGAGGATAAAATCGAGGAAAGTGATGATAAAATCGCAAAAAAAAAGAGTCAAAAATCGCAAAAAAATATGAGTCAAAAATTTCAAAAAAACTGAGTTTAAACTCGCGGAAAAGTAAGATGAGACTCACGGAAAAATGAGAATAAAGTCACGAAAAGTAAGGATAAAATCGCGGAGAATGAAATAGGAATCGCGAAAAAGTGAGGATAACATCGCAAAAAAAAGTGAGACAAGAATCGCGGAAAAATGAGATAATATTTACAAAAAAGTGGGTTTACAATCGCGAAAAAGTGGATTTAGATTCCCGGTAAGTGATGGTAAAATCGTAAAAAAAATTAGTCAAAAATTGCAAAAAAAATTATTCAAAAATCACAAAAAAAGTGAGGTCAAATTCGCGGAAAAGTGAAGATAAAATCGCGGAAAGTAGGGAAACAATCGCGGGAAAATGAGGTAAAAATCGCGGAAAAATGAGGATGAAATAGCGGAAAGATAAGTTTGTAATCGCCGAGGAGTGAGGGTAAAATCGCAAAAAAGTGAGGATGAAGTCACAAAAAAGTGAGGCTAAAATCGCAAAAGAAGTAAGGACAAATTCGCAAAAAAAAAAAGATCAAAAATCTTAAAAAGAGCCAAAAATCGCAAAAAAGTGAAGACAAAACTGCAAAAATGTGGTCAAAAAAAATGAGTCAAAAATTTCAAAAAAAGTGAGTGTGAATTCGTGAAAAAGTGAGATAAGAATCGCGGAAAAATGAGGTAATATTTGCGGAAAAGTGGGTTTAGAA